GGAAGCTGCTGTTAAAGAAGAGAGATGGAAAACCATGTCCAGCCTTAGAAGTGTGAATCAAAATAATACCTTGGATAATTTCAGGATCCCTTCTTTGGCAAAGCCTGCCATGGAAAACAAACTGTGAGCCCAGCTGACCGCTTAGCAAGCCATCATGGATCTCTTCTTACCTCCTTCCTAGAGAGAGAAAGGTGGGTATTGCACGATTAATGCTACTTTAAAAGAAGCACATCAATGTAATACTGCAAGTTTTGTAGCTGTTTGAAAAAAAAGACTCTTTCAGCATCAGTTCAAAAATGCCTCTTTTACAGGAGCTTAGATAAATGGCAACTAAGTCCCAGTCAATCCCTGAATTTGACTCCTGTCTTTCCAAAACTTTCAAACCAAAAAGCAAGCAAGGGTAAGGAATGGTTTGGTGGATACACCAGTCATCTGAGCAGCACCTGTAGACTCGTGTTCATGTCCCCAACCGTTCCTTCACTTTATCCATGCCACTGAACTCCCCTTCCCCTCACATGGACACCAACCCCTTCTGATGCCCCATTTTCCCAGGAGGGAGAACCAGGAGGCAGAACCAGGAGGCTGCCTGTTAAACCTGGGTAGAGAAGCAACACTGAAAGGCACACAGTTGCACCCCAGGATGCCTTTTCACATGTGCAGGAAGGCTGTGAAGGAGCTTCCATTCCCTTGCCTCTCACATGCTGTTGAGGGATGGGGGATAAAATGAAGGGTTTTAATCCATCAGCATCACTTTTTCTTTCACTACATGTCACAAAGATTGGTTGGGGTTTCAGGCTCTGCACTAAATACAAGCTTTGTGAATACAAGCACCTGCCTCTCAGCAGGAGGAAGCCAGTGCATGTGCAAAGTTAGAGCTCTAGGAAAGATCCCTCTAAATCAGGGGGATGCCGTGGAGGACAGTGGGTCACGGTGCAGTTTCTAGAGTACCACTGCACAGAGCCTGTCATGGGGCCAGGGAGAAAGGCTGCCTCCAGCTGCCTCATCACCTGCCACAGGGAGGAACCCCTAATGTGACACCCAGTATGTGGTCTAGAGAAAAAAAGATAGAAAAATATCTGCACATTCTAGCACAGAGGGCTCTAGTTTTGTTTGAGACCTCTAGCTATTGAAATAAATCCATTTGAAAAATATAAATCTATTAATAAAAAACCCCAAACCATACACAAAACCATGCTGTCAACTTGAAACTGTTTTCTTCCTGTGAAAAGCAAGTTTCCACAGCAGACTATCACCCAGTCTCCTTGAAATTTTCAAATGCACAAATATTTTCCATGACAGAGCAGGCATAATAAAGCTCCTTGGTCACAGTGGTGTGGTTTACACAACACACCTTTTACAATCCCACAAAAATGTAGCAGTGATAAATACGTGTAAAAACCCCTCAACTCTGTAGCATTCAAAAGAAAAAAAATCTCAAAACCAGCCACTGCGTTACATATTCGATGAATGCGCAAGCAGACACTGAGCTGATAGGCTGTCACCAGCCACTGTGGCTATAGCAATGCCTGCATAATTCTGGAAGGAAATATAAAGTCATAGTGAATTTTTAACTTTGAATATTGGTTCGTGTTTGTAAGAGATACCTGATGACCTCCTAGACTTGAGTCATATATTCATCCTCAGGACATATATACTTAGGACAATACTGGCATGAAACTGAGGAGCTTGCTCTGCCCAGGATATATCTCAAGTTCTGTCCAGCCTGGAGATGAGTCTTTATGGCTGGCAAACACCCACCAATACCTCAGTGGGAGGACTGAGACCTGAATCCTTTGCAACACCCCATTACCAGCTCCACAGAGTCACCCTGCCATTTTATCCAACAGCACACTTAACAATCTTGAACTTCTTTCAAAGCTCACCAGAGCATTGAGATGACTCATACTTAGATCAATAGAGTGCATTCATCTGTTAGCAAAGGATCAAATCTAAATGAAATCTTATTGCCTTTTAAAGGCTACAGCTGCTTCTTCCCCGTTGCCACTTCCCCCTCCACTTGCACAATATTTAAAGGGGAGGTGCAACATGTCTGACAGAACAACACACACCTGATCCCACAAGGGACACGCTTTGCTACAGTCACTTCAGCAGGACTCCACCGTACTGCCTCCACCTCCAAGAGGAGCTGAAGGGGTCTCTCAGGTGTTGGGGAGCAGGAAATACCTCTGTGAAAATGCAGGGTAAAGAGCAGCAGCATGAAACCACAATCACAGTAATGCTGGGAATGGCAATATGCATGTACACTGCCAGCAGCCCTATCTCCAAACAGACAGTATGTAAACGGTAGAATAAATAGCCATCTGCCTCTCTAGGATGGTAAAGCTGGAGAGTAGGGCAGACTAGCCTGGTATGTGGTATCCGAGGGACGCAGTGACAAGCACGTACAACCCTATTGCTGGGAAAGGAACCAGAGAGACCATGTCACGGTGTTGCCCCTTCACACCAACTAGTGAGTCACCTTTTCAAGTCACTCATTTCTACAGTAGAACTGCTCACGTTTGAAGTTTCTAGGAAATTGAAATTTTCAGTGTAAGGAAGTCTTTCACCACATTGGAAGTGCGATGGACGTTCAAACTCAGCACATAGTGCAGATGCCTCCAAAGACAGAGGCTGTTTACCACTGCCTTGCCTATTAGGAACTCTAGAAGCAGAATCACCTTTTCCTACAGCTTCCCTATATGGATGAAACCTGACCAGCATTAAACCTAAAGGTAGAACACCTTAGAAACAGCTTCTCTAGAAAAAATTATTACTTATTTATGGTTACTTACCAAGACTAGCTAAAACACGATATATTAGCATACGTAACTACCACCCAGAACCTGAGCAGCCCACTTAACAACCACGCTCCTCTGTGCCTTTGTTGACCAGTTTCATAGACTAACCCAAATTAGCTACATAACTGAGTGTATTTGCTAGAAACATTAGCCAAATGCACTCAGAGAAACACCAAACCAGTTTCCTCGAAGTCTTGTTGCCTGCATCCCATAATTCATCAGCATTTACAGCTGATGCAGGAAATTCTGTGATTCCACCTCAGATCAGCGCCACACCAATCAGCTTGCCATATCAGCTGCATCAATGACTTTCTGCTTCATGAACCTTTGCTGGTGCTTTGTACTTAAGTACCAATAATTACTTAAAACATTTTGAATACACGATACCCACCACTGTAAATGCACTAAAAAGTAGAGCCACTGACTCCCGGAATGTGGAGCCATTTACACTGCCACAACAGAGAGAATGGAAAGATTCTACACTTTTGCTTTTCTGCACCTTTTTGGATAACTTTACCATCCACATGTAGCAATGAATTCACACATTATATTACAAAAACTCCTCCTTGTTCTTCACAACCGATGTTTTTCATGGATAACTTTTATCTTTCAATCCATCAGCTTCCTTGGGTTTTCTAGCCCTGAATCCACTCAAATATTGCTTTTAGTTCTCCTAACCAGAATATACTTTTATATACAGCAATAGCAGCATTTTTTTTTCTTCTTGGTGCACAAGGGGAGAGGGAAGAGTGACAGAAGACTGAGCTCCTTTTATTCACCTTGATAGGAAAAGAGTAATTTGCCTAATTTATCATTTTAGAAAACAATCTCTTTCAGAACAAAACATAGGCATAACATCAGTCAGCCTTATCTTTAGTACTTAGATCAAGAACACTCATTCAGGCAGCCAGGTACCTTCACCCCTCTGATCACCTTTGCTTAAGAACACAAGAGTCAATATTTTAAATAAAAACACTGAAGTTTCACCAGGGCAGCATGGGACCTTCAACATACTTCCTATTTCAAGCCAACAAGTTGGAGAAGTTCAGGCAATGCCAATAAAGCCAACATTTTGGGTTTCTTACAGAATCCTTTCTCAGGCAAAGTCATAAGCAATTGAAGATTAACACTTTTGGGATGGATTGCTTTCCATGCTGCATAGCCAACTGCATTCTTTTAACAAAGCATTTTTTCTGAAAAGGTTCACATAACTTGTTTTCAGTAATATTGGGAGAGGGCAAAAAAGTGAATTCAAAATATTCTGGAAATTTTTTTCTTTAAAGAGATCTCTCTTTCCCTTCCCAATTCTGAATGCTACAGTGCCATATCCAGGAGGAAAAAAAAAAAGAAAAAATCCAAACATCCCCCAATCCCTTACAGAAGAACTTTTTGCAATCTTCTTGAAAATTTGTCAATATCTGGCAAACTAATAAACATTTTAAAAAACTTCTGCAACCAACATATTCTAACAGAGACCTGAAATTTAGGATGCAAACATGCTGAAGAAAACTTGCATTTTAAGTTGGCTGCCTAGACAGTAATTTTTTCACCTCCCTGGTTATTGTTCTGGTCTTCCTAGAATCCTCACTCAAATTCCTACAACTGGTATGAAGTAGAACATTGGCTAGCAAAAGCTACATTTTGCAAGGGGTTGGAGAGACTGGACCTAGTTGGGTAAAGCGGCTACATTTATACTAACAAATTAAAGAGTCTCAACCCACAGTCATCCATAGTTAAACTGCTGTCACAGTTTTTTGGTTTGCACTGACTCACAAGTTCTCCAAACACTGGATGAAATTCAGTGTAGGTGAGCAGCAACTCTCACAGGCAGGTGCCCTGCTTTGGAAAGTAGATGTTTAACCATAAAGGAGTCGTTTTGGTCTCATGACTACAAAGCTGTCTCTGGCGCTGCAACTGCTGGAACAGACAGAAGAGAGAAAACAAGAAAAAAAAAAAAAGAAGAAAAAACTGTGGCACGGGAGTCAGAGGAGAGGAGGACAGCCTGCATGAAAATGGCAGTAAAGCTAGAAATCTAAAAGCAGAAAATCTAGAACCCAGGCACAGAGATAGGAAATTTAGCAAGTTCAGTGCTACGTAAAATGAGTTAAGACTAAAGAATTTCTGCACATTAGACCTCTCTTCCGTAACAGCTGTTTTGATGTGATAATCTTTGTTGGAGAAGATTAGAAGTAACAAGACAAGGCAGGTATACAAAACTTTTTATTGACAACAGAACAATAGAGAGGAACGTCACCACTTCCCATTCCTCAGGAATGTCTCCATTTCACAGTCAGTCTGCTAAAAGTATACTTTCATGGTAACAAGCAACACGAAGGCATGGAGCTGTCTAACCTCAAGAAAAATGTTTCATCAGTGCAGCGTAAAGGGACCGACAGTGTGCAGGTGTGCAGGCCCTGTCACAACACAAACATGGCAGGCAACAGTATATGCAGAGCCAACAGGCACAGACACAAAGCAGTCAGAGGCCTCAAGTTATCTCCATTATTTCCATCTAAGGGCAATACCTGATGTGCTGTTCCATCCATGTTCTGTTTCAGAAGTGAATATGTTATTCCCTCACTCCTTTTGCTTCCTCTGTCCTCAAAGATGTGAATACTTCCAACTGAATGGTACCATGTCAGAGAATGCCTGAGCTTTTATAGTTTGCTACCTCATACCAGTTCATGCATGCACTTGAGTTTACTTTCAGAAGCTTACATTGACATAAAGAAGCGGGGGGAGGAGGGGGGAAAGTGCTGCAAAAGAAGAAAAGGATTTAGTTGTTAATTCTTCCCTGCTAACAAAAACGTTTGGTAGTTGTTGAATATACTCCTTGTAATGTTGTTTTCAAAAAGTATGTATGCAGTCTACTTAAGGTTTTAAAGAAACTGCACATCAAACTATCTCAACATAATTTCAAATACTCAGGAATGAAATTTGAACCAAAATTCAATCTATACAACAAAATATCTTAATTTTAGTTTTCACAGTACACAGAACTGCACACTGAGTGCAAGACAAAAGCAGTCTCTCTCCTGTATTAAGGTTCCTCTGCCTGCAGAACTCTACTGGAGACCCTGTGTAGTAGCTTGTACATTTATTAATTTATCATGTTTTTCCTTTACTTAATGGATGTGCCTCTGGATGTATAGACTGGTTGTTAAAGTGCTTTAAAATAAAACAAAAACCCAACAAAAGAAAACATCCCTCAAAAAACCATAATAGATGAGAGAATTTTAAATGAAGGACTTTGTACAGCATTTACAATGTCAGCATAAAGCATCTGAAATATGAGCATTCCCTGCAGACTGATGCAGTGCAAGCAGTCTCATACATTAGATACTGCAATTCCTCTGGATTCAAGATGCACAATACTTACAAAAACAACCCTAGAAGCACAGACAAATGCTGGTGGCTCTTCCTCTTCTTTTTAGAAACATAATTAAAAAATCTGCATTACTCTCTCATAATTTAAATACATAAGTAATCTTCCACTTTTATTACTTCATGACAATGACTTCAAATTTACATTATTTTAAGTACCGTCAGAATAGCTCCATGTATAATACAGATATTTGCTGATATCCTGTCAGAAAATAAAAAAACCAAAACCTTCCACTATATAAAAAAAATAATGCTGGAAAGACAAGAACACAGAACAGGGACTTGGTACAGACTATGATTTCAGTTTTATATCAACCACAGTTAACCCAAAATTAACAGATACACAGCGATATTCAAAAGCAGTGCAAATATCTTTGGAGGTTAGAATAAAATTATACTACAAGAACATAAGACAGAAGAAATTAAAAGGCAAGTACTTCAAGTACAGGAACCAGTCTCTGTGAGGTCCACCTTAGTGTTAGCTGGGAGTTCCTCTTCCCATCTTACTTCTTCCTCTGGAACACATTAGCCAACATTGCACCTGATGTAGTCAGCTGGCCCATTTTGTTCAAAAACTTGGTCTTTGTATCTTCACTCACCAGACTCGCTGCAATTGACATCGAGCTAGGAAAATAAAAAATTTAGTGACATAAGACTACAAAAAAAAAAAAAGAACATTATTCTGTTATTTATTAAACAACTGAAGTGTCTTTGCATTTTAGAGGTTTCAACATAAAAGACCAGTCCATGAAGAACTGAAAAATCATTGCCACCTAGTGCAGATATACACTGTTAAATTGATGTTAATGTCCTCACAGTCTTTGTGAAAATGGTAAAATATTTTTGCGCACACTACTTTTTGGTACCTTTGGATGTCACCACATTAGCATTTTTTACCTATTCGCAAATTACTCTAGTGACAAATACCTCTGTGAAAGATTGGCTTTACCTTCTCACCAGAAATGTCAATCCTTCTGTTTATTTAGTATAAGTACGACAGCACTGGTTCAGACATGGCCCTATCTAGTCCGAGTATCCTGCCTCCAACAGTGACCATCAGCAGACACGTACAGAAGAGTAGAAGCAAGGTATGTACAAAACCTTGACCTCTTGTCTTAATTTTCAACTCTCTTATTTTCCAGCTATTTCCAGCCTGACCAGAGTTTAAAACTGGGTGTAGACTGTCAATCTAGTAACTGCCAATAAATCTTTATCTTTATTGATCAGCTTTCCTTTGATCTCCTTGTAAACCTCTTGTAAACCCCACCCTGAGTTGTACTGGGTCAGCCCCTCGCTGGGTAAGGAGCATTCTCCTTCTGGTTGTTGTGAATGTGGCTCCTGCTACCTGTGCTTGAATGTTCCTACTTCATACATATTAGATAAGGCAACGGAGAGTCCACGGATTTGTCACAGACTGGACTGAAAGGAACAACCCAACCAGTGCTGAAGCGACAACACGCTACAACTTTGAACATGCTAAGAAATTAGCCAAATGCTGCAAACAGATATAAACTGTTCAGCATAGTAGCAGTAATCTGTCTCAAGACAGAAAAAATGTACAATAGCAGGAACGCAAATAAATATTCCATACTTCCCATATTTGTAGGAAAATGTTTGCCATTTTAACAAATTATAAAGTTCAAATTTTAAAAACATTTCCAATTAAATTCTCCCTTGTAAGCTCAGCATGGACTCTGCATTTCAAAATTATACAGAAACCACAAAATCTGTCTTACTGGCATAGCCCAGATTCCAGGAACAGACTTTTCAGCCTGCTAGGTTATAAACAGTTCTGTTAGACACAGCTGCATAAAGGCAGGTCAAGTTGAAGTTAACTGCTTCAACAGAACTTGAATGATTTCTTCAAAGTCAGCAGGGATGCACTCAGTACTTTTCACCATTTCATACCACAAAAAAAAAGGTGCTTATTGATAATTAAGGTTGTTTTTTTTTTTTTTAAAGTACCTTAAAAAACAAAAGGGAAGCTTCTCACTAAAGCTGTACTGTGGATTTACAGGTAGTTTAATTATAAACTTCGAAAGTGAAATATTTCTTTTAGGCACAATCACATAGCCAGACATCTTTGGCTTGATTATATACCTCCTGTCAACTAATGAGTCACCTATTTCCAGCTGATAAAACTTAGGTAAATTACTGCTACTGTAAGATGCAATTTCCTTTGATTTTGTGATAAAGCAAAGGCATATAAATTATGTAAATAACAGTTTAGACTCACTATCAGCTGGTTAAGGACAAGAAGCTATTCCTGACTGATGTATCCTAGAGTTCTGTGTAACTAGGAAAAATTATTTGGAAAATACTGTACATTGCAAGCATAAGCAGCATTAAGAAAATAAAACTGCCCACTTCAGAAAAGAAAGTCCATCAGCTGGTGACAAACCTGTAGTTTTCAAACAAACTGTGCTTTTAGTATTCTAATAATCCTGAATAAGTTTGAGGAAACTCAGAAAATATTCAGTTGACATTCAAAACAGTTTTGGGGGATAACAGTCATCTGCTGTCAAAAATAAAAAATTAACAACTGGAGCATCTAGGAGTTCATGTTTTCCAATACTATGTTACTGCAAATATAAATATAATCCACAGCACTCAGCAGACTTGAAAGTTTAAATATGCCCCTGAAGTACTTCTATTACTATGCAAATTGAACATTTAAACATACCAATAAAAATAGTATGAAAACAAGTAACTTGAGTCTCACATCTTCAAAAAGTAATCAGAGACCCCAAAAAGGCAGTAGCATTTCTTATTTGAAACAATCAGCCCTATAGAGAAGTCCTTGAATTTATTAATTACTTAAAAACCAAAGCAAAACCCAACCCACAAACAAAACAAAAAATTGTGTAAATATAAAATTTTTGATGAATTACATGTTGCACAGAGTTCTGCCTATTTTATGGCAAAGCTCTAGGCCAAAACAAACATTCATGCTGGGCATTTTATAAAAATCAGTTTGTAACGTAAGTTGTTAGCCATGACTGAAATGCCTTGTTAATTGCTAAAGAAAATGTTTAACAGAAGTGGCTATCCAATATACAAAAATGCTAAGTTTAATCTTCTTGAAAAACTATTTCTTTGACCCCATATTATTTGACCAATCTTTTCTAACAGCAAGGGGGAAAGACAAGATAATCAGCAGCATCTTATGATTGCTTTTCCATCCGTTTTTATCTCTGTGCACGCATTCTCATGCTGTTAACAAAACCCAGTAATTTATATCCCAGTTGCATTGAAATCCTTTGTCAAATACATAATTGTCACTGAAATCAGGAACTGAAATTAGCAAGGGCTTAGGGAAAAAAAAAAGGAGATATTTATGTCTATAAAAAGGTCATTTCTTCAGTGGTAAAATATTTCTTGTTAATTTTGTACGGTAAAAGATTGTGACCATAGTCTGATTTTGAGTAAGGAAGGGAAAGGCTAAGGAACAAAGGAGCTGCATAGACTTATCATTTTCAAAACTTAGTTTTCAGCAGTTGCATCCTGAAAGAAAATATATTAGATGTTGTATCAGGTTTGCATTTACTCTTTTCTGTAATGGCTTAATAGGACTAACTGTGATTTCAAAACATTTACTACCAGTAACCCCTGAAATATTTTATTTGGTGCACGAGAGACTGATCCTTTTTCCACACCAAATTTCTTCTGTTCAATTCTTGTACACCTTTCCTATTTTGGTAATTCTCAAACTACCAGTTGCTTCCAAGGCCATGCCTGAGCTCTTTCAAGAAGTAAATTCTATCCATTTGTTACAGATATGGAAGCATGACACAAACAAGCTTCAGTAATTGTCTCAGTTCCCATGGCAAAGTATTGGAATTGAAGACAGATTTTCTCTTAAGACACCTACTGTTTCTTCTCGAACTCTTCCTGGCAACACTGCTAAGGATTTATGAAGTTATATAATTACATGAGAAGTTACCTGTTAGGGGATGCCATTCCAAGCAACAAGCAAGCAAAAGAGCAATTAGAACTCATCATAACGACACCAGGCTTTCCACATCTCCATGTCCAACGTGGGTCTGTTAGCTACCTTTCTTTTCAGGAGACTCACACAGGTAGCTCAATTTATACACTGGAGAAGCTGTTTTTGTGTGCACCAGTCACAGCCAAGCAAGGACAGCAGCCTGGAGCAATCCATTCCCAGGACCAGAACAACTCCCTCAGCCTGCAGGCTGCCCCCTCCCAGGGTGGCAGAGTGTGTACCACGTACCTTGCTCTGAGCACTTAGGCGAGACACTCCCTGCTTTCTCAGATTCAGGACAGAAATTTAAATACTGCTTTAAATGGATAAGAAATTAAGGACAAAGTAACACAGGAAAACAAGAAAGTCATTGCTATTGATACAAATAAAAATTTCTTGTCCTGTGTTTTTACACTGGAGACAGAAACAACCACAAACTGTGTTAAAGTTACTAAAATCTGTTTTCAAATACAGAATATGTCAGTACGGGATTTCTGGTCACAAACCTTGGACACCATTATGGAATACACTCTGCAGAGCGTTCCTCTGGAGGCACATAAAAAAAGGGAAGTGGAAGTCTTACCCTTGCGGTTCTTGGACGGTCTTGTTTTCCACTTTCTGTTCACACTCTTTTATCATGGAGCTCAAAATAACCTAAGGAAGAGAGATACATGACATTTGACACTTTTCCTTTTACATTAACATTTCTTATGAAATGTACTCTGCAACTAATTCTGACGTTAGCAGAACTGTTTGAAAAGTTTTTTTGTTCCACAGTTACCTGGTGTCTTGTGGCTAGAAACAACAAAAATGTTCAAAATACCTTAAGGAAGAAAATGTGTTTTGGAACATTTACAGGAGTTCTAGGTGCCCTCCTGTTTGCCCTCACTTTTTGAAATAAAGTGAACTCACTTCTGTGACACACCAAATCTTCATGAACATTATGCATGAAAGAAAAAGGAAGAAAAAAAAAAGTGTGACGGCATCCCAAGACAACATCTTAATGGGAAGGGAGTGCTAAAGCAAACTTGGTATCACTCCACTGGTGTCTTCCAGGGTTCCTATGAATCATGGCTTTTTTCCTTAATTTAAGCAATTGCAGTGTTAAAGGTTTCTGCAAGGTATTTAAGACTGAAAACACCTCCACACCGACATTTTTACATTTCTCCAAAAATAAAGGAATGATTCCCAGGAGAAGGCTCTAAAAAAAAAAAAAAAATACAGTTCATGGGACAGGTATATGGCTCCCTGCCCTGCTCACACAGTACCCACACATTAAAACAAAAGCATTTGAAGCATTTAGGCAAAACAGCTACACAAATGTGCATAATGCAAAATGTGAAACTATAAATATATATATGCATATGTACATATATATATACATACACACACACACTACATAAATGGAAACTTCCTCTGCTCACAGCTCAGGAGAAAGATAAGCTTTTTTTTTTTGAGACACTAAACTTGAAATCTCAAAGCTACAAGAAATATAAATTAGTAATGTCTTACCAAACCCGCATATATACAATAAAGGAAAAAACCCAATTTCAATCTCTAAAACACAGATCAGTCACTAATGGTTACTACCAACTGGTAACTGTTTTTAAATGTATTTGTACACATTAAAGAGCTGGTTTCTGTCAAGTTGCTTTGGACATCTGCAGCACAACCTTTAATTACACTGATAAGAAGTGGCCCAGTCTGCAGATCTGTAGCAGGTATTACATACACTTGAATGTTTCAGAGAGCAGCACTCAAAAAGGACTATAACTCTTACTGCTAAATCTGCTGTCCTTCATTTGCATAAAATGTTATACAAGGTACTTAAACTCAAGAGTACAGAGATACAAGAGAAATACGTTCAGAATTCTGGTAAAAAAAGCAAACTTTTTGTTCTGTATCAAAAAATCCCCTGAAACTTATAAGCAAAGTGGTCGTAATTTTGGTTACTTAGCATTTCTACCTGTGCACTGGAGCTCTTCTACATTTTTGTACATCTATCTGAATCTAGATGTTCCAAACATCAACAACATGAAGTCTTGATCAAAGGGGAGAAAAATTCATCAAGGACTCAGAATCATTTCAGTAACATGATGGAGTTCCTGGCCATTGCACACCTCCTTCTGGGAAGGCTTTGTTAATTTTTGGATGAAGTGGGACAATTCTTTCCTCTTCCCAAAAGTAATTTATCATTAAGTTCAGGGTGAAATAGAGGAAAGATATAAATATAATATCATATGGCAATTCTACGTTATGGCTTCGCACATACTGCTCAGACCTGTTCCCTTGGGTTCTCTTTGTTTGATCCCAGGACTGATTATGAAATCATTTAGACCTCCTTTAAGAGAGAGATTTTAAAGTTGTAACTCTAAATATAGACATTTAAGAGATATAACATGCTTAACTATTATAAACAATACTACAGTCTATGGACTAAATATTTTCATCAAGTACTGACTATATCTCACTATCATGCAACTCAAAATCCAGTTATTTTGAAAATAAATGGAAGGCAAGTGGAGAAGGGGGAAGAAGGGACTTAACATTGAACTAGAGATGCTGGTAAAGTATCCGAAATGTCTGCACAAGGGGAAATGTTTCCTTTAAAGATGAGGTCTGGCCTAAATGCCAACTTACTCTTTTGTTTATATGAAAAAAGGAAAGCAAGTATGAGGGATAAGTGGTAAATGCTGCCCAACAGAATCACAAGCCAATTCCACAAATGTTACCTTTCTAAGATAAGCATGAACTCTGTACTCATGTTAGAGCCGTAAGAACTAAGGCTCTGTAAATGAGAAAATGTATTTTTGTAAGTCATATAACCATTTGAATAATGAATAACATCAGAGTAATCAAAATACTGAGAAAAAGGTTAATTCTGTGTATGCAAATATCTAACTATTTGAGATAGTAAATGGCATTCTTTTCAGAAAACAATTTTAAGACAGGAGGCTTCTAAGACAGACACTAGAACTAACCAGGTCTCAAAGCCTCTACCACACTGCCTAAAACCTCCTATTGTAGCAAGGAGCTGATCAAACACCAGATTTCCATTTCTACAGTAAAAGCTGTAGCGAGTTTTCTAACCCACTGGAGCAGGAGTAAATATTTTTAATTTTATACTTCTCTCCAGCTAAAAAAACAAAGCACTTGGCATCATGCCTGAAGCCACTTAATCACAGTGATGCAAAATGTGGTAATGGAGGATTGGGAGCTGTCTTTCCTTATTGATTTATTTTTAATCCTATTCAAGTTCCTTCTCTGACTAACAAGACTCAAACTCAGTCAAATAAGCTCTTCTGTTCTAATGCAGGGCATCTTTTAACTGACTATGCCCTTAAACCTTAGAAGTTGCATTAACTACAAAAATGGAGTAAGCAGTATTTGTATCAGTTATCCCATTAGTGAAAAAAAATTAAACTTTTGCCTACTGTAGCTTTCAGATATATTCTTATGACTTCCCAAACCACAATACATCTCCCAGCTCTCTCTGAACACAGTATCTATCACTGCCACATCTCCAGTGCTGCCTGTGGTAAGGAAGCACAATTCTGTTGCCTTTGACTGGTGCTCAGTTCACTACTATTCCTCCTGACTCACCCTTCTGAAGTCAGATTCTTTCTGTTTAGGTTGGAAAGTTCCTCAAATAATAATATACAGAAAATAGTCTCATTCTTTTATTAGATTAAAAATGTAACTGGAAGAAGGAACTTTGTTACTGAATATAAAGACTCCTAGAGAATACAGTCATCTCAAGTAAGTCACTTTTGCAAACATAAGGAAAATAAATTAATTTTCTCATATACAAAGTAATCTGTGAAAGTGCAGTATTAACCTTCAAGGACTACAATGTTCCTTTGTACATTCTGATTAAATATTTTTCTTAATCTCTTGAAATGTTCATCCTGCTAAGGTTTCCACCAACATGCAACTAAACAATGTCTCGTTTTCAGCTACTGACTTAACATCTATGTGTTTCAATTCATTCTCTTCAAGTATTTACAACAAGTAAATACTTACTTACCAAGATTTTCAAGTTTCTCAAGCTGACTTCTCATGCTAATTCTTTTCTTTTGCTGCTTTCTGTATTCTCCTCCTACCAAAGAAGATCTTACTTGATTCTGTGTTGTCCTGTCTGCTTATTTTAATCTGCTTTTTACAATTCACAGAATCACAGTGTGGTTGAGGTTGGAAGGGGCATCTGCAGATCACCTGGTCCAATCCCTTGATCAAGCAAGGCCATCTGGAGCCAATTGCCTGTGTCCAGATGGCTTTTGAGTATCTCCAAGCATGGAGACTCCACTACCTATTTGGTCAATCTGTGCCAGGGCTCGGTCACTCTCAGAGTAAAAAGAACCTCTGCCCATTGCCTCTGGTCCTGTCACCGGGCACCACTGAGAAGAACCTGGCTCAGTCCTCTCTGGACCCTCAGGTGTTTGTCTATATGCTGATTCCCCTGAGCATTCTCTTCTGCAGGCTGAACAGTCCCAGCTCTCTCAGCCTCCTCTTAGTGGCCCTTCACTGAACTCTCCCCAGTAGGTCCATGCATCTGTACTGGGGAGCCCAGAGCTGGACATCGTACTCCAGATATGACGTGCATTCCATGTATTTTAGGACTATACTTTCCTCATCTTTAATTTCTTTCCTCCACCAACTCCACCAAATATTGTAGCCATTCATTTCAGTGTACCCTTGCTTTGATGAAAAAGAAAGATGGTAAAACCATTTAATTTTTCCTCAGTCTACAAAGATCTGTTTCTACGTGAATTTCTGACAGGCAAATATTTCTCTGCAGAGATCCTCAGTTTAGAAATAAATTTTAAAAGTTTTTCCTGTTTTTTAAATGATGGGATCTACTCCTTATAAAACAACCTCTCAATAGTGTGTTTTGATACCACTTATGAGCAGCTCTTCTTAACTTCTAGTTTTTAATACCATTACATTTCAACTTTTTCTGCCACTGGCATCTCAAACTCAGTAAACAGCTGCTCACCTCATGCTCTGGTGAGAGATGTTCCATGTCCGTTCGTAAACACTTCAGTCCTGGTAAAAAGTGATTGACCATTAAATCCTCTGAAATAACTAAAAACCAGGTTGTTAAGGTATTATAAGGATTGAATTCTAATGACTAATGAAAAGGAAAAAGAATCTTAAACATATTTAACATTGTGTATTTCATACATCCATACCGTTCTTTTAGTATTGTTTCTTAATTCACTGGTCAAGATCAAGGGTTTTGTTTATGTAGATTTGTTTTATTAAAAGTATCTATCAGTTCCACTGTATTTGGTTTGGCTGAGTTCACTTTCCCATAGGAGCCCTCACAGTGCTGTGCTTTACGCTGGTAGCTGAAAGGTGTTGATAACACACCAGTTTTGGGTACTGCCGAGCACCACTGGCACAGCATCAGTGCTGTCTCTGCAACATTCTCCCCTGACCAGCAGGCTGTAGGTTAGCAAGGCCTTTGGAGGGGACATGGCCAGGACAGCTGACCCAAACTGACCAGAGGGATATTCCATACCACATGATGCCTGCTCAGATATGAAAGCTAAAAGAAAGTAAGAGAGACTGTGGGAGGCATTTGTTTGCTGATGGAAAGCAAAGAATAAATCTTCATTTTTCCTTTGTTTCCATGCATGGCTTTTATTTATTAAACTGCCTTTATCCTGACCCATGAGTTTTTTCTCCATCTTATTTTCTCCCCCACCCTCATCCCATCCTCCTGAGGAGGGAAGTGATAGAATGGCTTGGTGCGCATTTGGTGTCCAACTAACCCACCACATTTACCATCAGTGAAAACCTCTTCCTTATGCTGAATAGATCATGTTTTACCTCACAGATTCGAAGACAAACGCAGTTATTTCTCCAGTATTAAACCTCTCCCACCACCACAGAAGTAACAGCTAAAGTTCCCCCCAAGAAAGGATACAACAACAGGAAAGAGCACTGTAGGATTCAAACAGGTGGGTAGCGATATCCAGTCTCTTCGAATCCACAGACTGCTGGTTGTTGACCAAGGCTAACTTGTGTAAGTGTGGAATAACAACTGGAAAAGTAAATATGGGAATAAGTGTTTGAGATGGCTTTCCACAGACTTGTTTAGCATTAAACAGTTGCTATGTGGCAATTGCAGGCACCTGAAGCATCACGCATCAGTGTGGAAAGAGAACTGCAAATAATTGCTTTTGATGGCACTGCCCTTGCAGGTTTAACTGATAAACTCAAACTTGAAATAAAAATTGTGGTAGCACCACTTGAAATAGAAGGTACCTTTGAAATAGTAACAAGTACCTCAGGGTACCTTTGAAATAGTAACAATTCACAGAAAAGAAAAAAAAAAATCAATATAATCAGCATACCTATTAGCTTTTGGACAGAAAGAGGAAGACTGCATCTTCCCACAGAAGCAACTTACATTCGTCTCTAAATCTGGGCTCAGCATTAGGTCCAACTCTTCCAAATGTCTTTATGATTTCTGTATGTAAAGAATGTTGGTCTTGATATTGAGGGTCTTCCAGGAAAGATGCCAGCTGCATTTTTACTCTCTCCAGAAGCTTAAATATTCCCAGAGAAATAGGAAGAACACAAAAGAATGAAGATGCTAGAAATTGTTATGGTCAATTCAGAGTATGTTTATAATCTTCCATATTTCAGATGACAAATCTTGGACTTTCTTCTAATTTACTTCTTTTCCCTAACAGGATGTTCCAAATTCTTCAGTGCAGCTTTATGTTTTAAAGACTGTTAACAGGGTTTTGATCTGATTTATCTTTTAACTGTAGAGAGGGGTTTCCATAGAGCTGGTCTTTCCTCCTGAGGTTTCCTTGGGTTTGACACTCCCATTTTTTACCTCCTATTAAAATTTTCCACTTGCTAATAATAACTAAGGAGTTTTCTTGTTTAATTAGGACTTAATTAATGAGATTTTTTGTCATGTAACTCAATTAATAGGCTAAAAATTTTCTGCAGAGGACAGAGATGCAAAAGTAACCATCATAAAATCAATGGAATTAAGATTTCTTCAACTAAAGGTGAGAAAAACTGAAAATAAAATTATGTAAGTATTTAATTTGCATTCAAAGTTGAAAAAATAACATGACACATTTTGGAAGGTGCTATCACCTCTGTACTCTAAGGCTTGTTTTAATTAGTGCAATGGATACAGTAATTTCTGTGTGGTAACAAAACAATATTCTTCCCAACTGATTATAGGCATGCATTCCAAGCTACAAAATTCTAACTTTTCCATCTTCCAAGTACTTGTGAGTCATCACTGACTTGACTCACATTACTCACATTTCCTCAAACACATTCTTTTAGAATATGTTGAAATTACGGGAAGAATGCAAGCTCTGCAAAAAGCTGCAAAGATTTTAAGAAGAAATTCAATTGTACAGTTGTTACCTAAAATAAAATCCAGTATTTCTACTGCTTACAGCAGAATCCTGGGTGTCTTCAGAATTCTAATCTATTACCATAGTCTCATCATTTAAAAAGAAGGAGGAATTGCATCTCTACATTATCCTCAAGGATTATTTTGGTAATGTCACTATGTCTTTTAGTGTCATTTTGCACACCAAGGTCTAAACCAGCAGATATGACTGGAACTACAAGCGACTTGTCCTCTCTTCTGGGAGCCAAGCAGGATATCCTAAAGCATCTAAAATGGTAGAATATACTTATGTGGAGGTAACTGACTCCTATCATGTCTTTCTGGTTAGCATTTTAAAATAAAGCTATTTTATTTGGAAATACTGGAGTTAGATTTCACAATTGTATTGGACAATGTTTTAAAAACCATTTTGAGCGTGGGATTTCCCATCTTGTAGCACAGGCCTCCCCTTTACTTATCTGTCTCTCTTTGTTTATCTTTGGTTTGATATTTAGAAGGGAATGTTTTTATTAGTTAAGAGGATCAGTTTGTTTAAAAAAAAAAAAAAAAATTAAAAAAAGGCTGTTGCAAAACCGGAAAGCATTTTGGAAGAGAATATGACAAAAAAAGAAATAATTTATAAGCTGCCCTTTCTCTTACTCTGGATTTATAAAAAAAATTATCCACCTATTATGCTACAAAAACAACAGCCTGTCAACAGGTGTTTTACCTCTCTCTGAGTAACAGTTTCCATGATGGTCCCGAAAGCAGGAATTGTAGCAATCCTTACTGAACTACAATGGAAGAACAGAGTCTTTAACATGTCTTCAACATTAAGAACAAAATTAATTAAAGCAGTATTAAAAAATTAGTACTTTTAAGTTACACATTAGTTTCTAGCAATGACACACACACAAAAAAGCAGGCCAGGAAAAAGACAGACAGGATTAACTCAAGGTCTCAATCTGAAACTCACAATTCAGGATCACTGGACAAGGTAACAAGGGCCGGAGCAACCCGCTTGTCAACTAATGCTTCACTCATGCCTCGAAGAGTCAGCTGTAAACCAGTCAACATGCAATAAAAAACGGTTTGGTAAACGTGAAGAACTGGGTTAGCTGTGACTGAGGATGGGCAGGCAGACTCTTGGGGTTGTTCTTGGTTTAGTCACCCACACAAGACATTAAAGCGACTAAGAGTCATTCATGCTGTAGCATTTGTTAGTAACAACCTGTTAGTGAGATTAGCAAAAGCATCCCTCTCTTAGCCTGAAAGAAATATCACATCAGAACGTCCAGGAAATCAAGTACCACAGTTGTCTATCAGAAATGAGGTACAGCCAAAACTACTTTGCATTTCATTAATGCAGATGATACTTAATTTAGCAGTAGTAAAGCTGATAGCATTACAAAGAAAAGTAATATCCAGCTTTCTGCTAGAAATGATGTAAGCAATTTGAAATCTGAGAATATGATTAAATATAAAACCCCATACAAATATATTAAATGGATCTAAGTTTTCTATTTGACTTTTATTCAGCAGTTTTATCCAGTTTAGTTCTAGGCATTGCAGTAAAACTTTTTATTTAAAAATAAGTGATTTAAAGGTTACATTTGCTTAAAAGTAATTCAATTTTTGTTCATCTAGACTAAGAAACATAACTGATGGTTATTTCTTCCTAACTATTAAGAGGGATGCTATGTATATACGACAGTCAGGGAACTTACATTTCAGGGTCACTGGAGAGAGTAATGAGAGCAGGAACAACTCTCTGAGCTACCAGAGTTTCATGTACCCCCTTCACCAACAGCTGAATGGTCGGAGCAGGGGGGTATCACAGGTGATGCACGAAAAGAGTGAGCACAGTATCATGGGAAGAAGAGTGGCACAACCAAGAGAGAGAAAGAAAAAACACAAAAAGCAAACCAAAATTAGAAGCTAAGCAAATACTGCTACACTAGCGCTTCATAAATGCAAAGGCATGAAGAAAGCTGAAGTGGTCTGGCAATCAGCACAAACGTCAGCACAAATTCAACAATACGATGTTTTCTCTATTTTCAGATATTTTAAAACTTGAACTCACAGCTTTAGCAAGTGTATTATAATTAAAATACTAATTATGTATATATTACATATAAAGTATATATTATAATTATAAATAAAATTATGTATAACTAAATTCTAAACCAATGCTGATTTGAGTTTGACAATTTCATCTAAATGCTGCTCCTAACTCAATACAATGGTATTTATCATAGTAGGTGGCTGTCACATGCAAAATAGATGTCTTGATTAGGTCAAATGCGTGGTTTTCCCACACTGAGGGATGCCTTTCACATGTTTTACAACACAACCAACAGCACCTTTCCAGATGCCAAAAAGCTTTCCTGAAAGTCATTCAGGACTCCTTTAGATTTAACCACCATCCAAGCAGTATATATGCTGCTCTATGCAGGCAGAAAATGGAAAATCCTTGAATTATCCATGAAATATACTTCAAGTCTTTTTGCAAACTAAGGATAGATATATTTGTTGCAATACATCCCAAATTTTAAAAACTTGAAATCACTGTGAAATTTATTATCCACGAACATGAGAAAGTTGTTTGAATTTAGATGTTCCCAGGTGATCTTTTTTACACTAATTATGCAGTCACACATCATCATTTGCTGCACATGTTGCAGATGCCCTTTACATATTTTCTACTACTAATTTTCAAAAATGACAAGTTGCAAACTTTCTCAATATTCAACAAAACAGAGTGGTTTTTGTCTTCATTAAATAAAGGGGAAAGCCTAGATATTTCCATTTTGCATCTCCTGTAAAGAAGTCTGCATGTATTTCCTGGTTTTAGGAGATAAACATAAAAAGCTAATTAGTGAGTTCATGTGAGAAATTTGAAATGTCTTTTTAATATTTAGCTATATTCTAATTACTCAAATTACATAATGAACACAAATTAAATTCCAAGCTTTTTCCCCAGCAATGCAACAAGAGATCCACAGAACAAGGGGAAAGCAGTGGCTGTCAGTATATCAGTACTCAAATCAGGCAATATTTACACCCTCTAACTAGAGAAGATTTTACATTCTATTTGCTTGAGCATTCCTGCTTTACCAACTCCGAATTTAAACCGAAGTTGTGAAAGATTAGAAGCAACCTGACTTTCCAGAAGCTTCTATACAAAGTTGTCATTTTTATTAAGCAATATTTGTGTGTGAATGTATGTGCATGCATGCAAGTGTGCACACAGACACAGAACACAGTGTGGCCTTAAGATAATAACTGGGGAAGGAAGAACGGGGAAAAGCTGTGCAAGAACATATGCATTATTGCTGCAAAGCACCTGGAGGGAAAAAGTTGCAGCTTCCTATACTTATTATTCAGAAAGTATTAGGAATGTCAGTTCAACTACAGCATTTTAACATTAATACATTTCACAGTGAGTTACACTGGTGACAAGTTAAAGTGCTGATCTGTTGAGGTTATGGGCTACTCTTCAAACAGCTGTTAAGGACATAGCTCACTGATTACGATGATCTTACTCTCATATACAGATTTACCAATTTTCCCATTTATTAAAATAGAGAATGCTTACTATTTTCAACCTTGGGCAAATAGGGACTTGAGTTTTCTTTACCGATATTTATTTTTGAGAAAAGCCTAGCAGTGCTTTATAAAAAAAATGCTTGTGATTTGTGTATTTAGCAAACAATTTAGAATGATCTCAGCTTCATTACCATGTGGGCTGCCACACTTCTAAGTATGGTAAAGCACAGTAAACAGAAAATAAAACATGCTTTATAACACAAGTGTCATTCTGAAGACAAGTGGTCTTAGCTTTGAACCTAAACAGACCAACAAAGCTTATATATAACTCGACTGAGCACTTCATGTCCAAACCAGCAGCAAACAAATCCTTTTGCATCAATATTCAAATGGGAAACTACTGACTGAAAACATTAACACAGAAGCAACAGAAATAGCTGGAAGGACAAAGCCATGTAGCAGCATGTAAGGTTGGAGTGAGACAATGTAAATTTTTATCCCGTTTTAATTCCTCTAGATCATTAGTTATACATACTACACCTTAAAAATGGTAGCACAAAGCTTCCTGCCACCAAAGGAGTGAAGGGGTAGAACGGCTCCAAATCAATTCGGTGTCCTTGCAATCCTTAATGGACTGCAAAGGTTTGGTAATGCTGCTCAGAATCTTTACTGTTCCCATACAGCTGTCCTGCAGGTCACATACTATTTATCTTATTACCTAATTGCTGGGCTTTGCCATTCAGCAGCCTCTGAGATGTCAAATTCTTTAAGTGAGGAATATTCCAATAGTGAAACCAACTATCACCACCTCTTCACACAGGCGACTTCCCAAATGTATGTACTGCCATGTATAAATATGTATGCTATGGCTATCAATTAAGTGGCAATATGCTACTATTTTCGAGTGAGAAAAGTGTCTAAAGCAAAGCTGCCTGTGCTTTAGTAAAAACTGAAGTATGCTAGAAAACAATTTGTCAAATAGCATGCATATATTGCCTGAAAATAATCAACATGCAGTTGAATTTGAAAAGAAACTGCAGTCAAGACAACAGCCTATTGTAACTGAAGTCTTTCACATTTGGCTAATGGGTATTGAGAAAAGAACCCCTTATTATTACAAATATGATATAAGAAATGTTTCTGTTAGATTAAAAATACTCAAACGTATTTTAAGGGTGTCCAAAATTGTCATCTTTTTTTTTAAAGGGAGAGGAGGGGGGCAAAAAAGTCTCAGGGTAGTGCTTATTGTGGCTGTTTACTGTCTTAGCTGCTATGACTTGCAGAGCTGCAGTAAAGAATGCTAATGGATAAGCTAAGTGCTCTTTTTTCTGAGGCAGAGTTGAGATTTGTTTTTGCAAATGGATACAAGATGGAAGAAGTTCAGCTAGAGGTCCACTGCAAAGCTATTCAAATTAGTCAAATATGGAAGAAATAGAAAAATAAGGAGTAACATTGATTAGAAATTTGTGTTTCTAGCATGTAAAGGAAAAAAGTTGCTCTTTGTTTGGCAAGTGGAGTTTGTCTGAGTATGTCTTAGGGTTTTTGCATGAGACTTTTAAAATGAACATTTGATGAAACAAAGACATAATGTGGAAATAAAAGCAAACATTAGTTTTATGTATCAGTCTTTATCCTGACCAAAATTTCTAAGTGTTTGGGGAAAGATGGAGCTGTCATTATGAGGCATGTAAATTAACTGTAAAATATTTTAAATTATTTCCATTTTTGCAAAAAATACAGAATTGGTTACATGTTTGTCTTGACCACCATATCTGGTACCAATGAAAACTAATTTGAATTACAATACAAGTGTATTGTATGAGTGTACACACAACCTACTGAAAACAGTAACTGTTAGATATTCACGATGGGTTGAGTAACAAAAGCAAAAGTTAAAACCCAGAGATGCTTGATATATTTAACTATATACGTACAGAAAGATGTGCTGTTGAACAGAGAACAGATACAGAAACAACTACACAACAACCTCCTGCTCCATCACACAGTACACAGCTTATTAGTTTGTAATTAATAAGAATGTAACAGCATTGTTTGAATCCCTGTTTTTAAAAGCAAACTCTAATTTTAAAGAGGTGCAAAAAAAGGCTGGATAACACTTACCTCAAACATTCTAGCAGCTGTACATCGAACAAGAGCAGAAGTATGGACAACTCCATACCATAAAACAGTTAATAGCAGCTCATGATAAGCTGGGTTTGCACTAAAAGAAAACAGTTGGGAAATCGATCAAACAGAAATACTCCCAACCCCTGTTCTTTACGTACAAAATACAGTCTTAAGAATCCATTATTCGACAAATCTAAAACTTCACCATTTATCCTTCCTGAAGGAAACAGAACATTTATTTATTAAGTACTTCATTCTGAAGGATAAGCAAGATGTTGCAGTCTAGAAAAGATGTTGCATTTTCAAGTTAAATACCCCCCCAACTTTAAGAACATAGTTTTCAATAAATTATGATATTGAATGCAAATACATGACAATAGTACGGTAAATACAAAATTAATTTCCACTGTATTCTCAACGAGTGATTTTTGTGGAAATTTTGTGTTTCTTTTTTAAACTTCAGAATTATTTTTACCACTACATTTTTAATCTAGAGATTCCATTTGCACAAAGAAAAAAAAAGCAAGTATACCCTTTATTCACCCAAAGCACTACAGTTATTAAAATTACAGCCAGATTAGCAGCTTTTAATAAAAGCTTCCAATGTATTTAGATCTAGTCAATGCCAAGGTGTAATCTTTACCCTAGTTCCACAAAGGAAGCTTTCAGGCTATCAAGGGGAGCATGGGATAGTGAAAGCATGGTCATTACATCTTCTAGGAATCCAACTAACAGCTTGCGATCTTCTTCCTGAAAGAAGAGAGTACAATGATGAATGTAGTAGAAGTGGTGTTGCTGTTGTGATAACAACCTACAGATACCAAAGAGACAAACTACGAATAAGAACAAACTAGATAAGCATTTAACAATTTTCTTAGGAATTTCAAGAATGTGTTTAAAGAACAAGAACCTTTCAAAACAAACATATGAAGAGAATGTATTTCATTAACGATGTCATACTTATGCTTGAATTGCCCATATTGTTTTACTGAAGAAAGTTTTAAGAACAATATTTAACCATGCTTATTACTCTTGAAAGTTTCTATTTGCTCACAGTCCATTAAAAATCAGTAAGATTATGAAGAATTTTTTTTTTTTTCCTGTAAGGTATGCATATGCCAGTCTGTAACGCTGGTTGCTGACGGATTAGGTAATATTACTTAGAGTGTGTTTATTTTAATACTAGGTAACACTAACATTTTAAGACTCCAACTAGGCCCAAAATGGCAATTTACCTGCTTATCTGTTTCAGTAAATTTTGCAAAATAACATTTGCAAGGTTCGTAGTTAAATGGCCAAGAAGCCATCTAAGGAATAACATTAATAGTGTTGACAGAGGGCAGCACATGATCTAAATGGGCATCACCACCTCACTGGAAAACTGCTTTTAAATGTGTACAGCTGCCCATTCATCTACCTATCTTAAAGCACAAGAACACTAGGTTTTCAGAGAAAACAGTTTGTTGTTTTTTAAATAAATTTTACACACTATTACACATTTAATGAAGGAACAGAAAAACAAACTTACTTGAATATAACATGTAAGGACCCCTGTTGCATAGATGGGAACTGTGGCTTTTGTTAGCACTCCATTACCTGCTGTGGAATCTAGTGAAACACAATGAAGAATTTAGGTTTTATACATACATATGAGGGTGTATATAATGTGCATAATATATACTATAAATAGTATACTTATATGTGCGTTTTTAAGTATTATAGATTTAATCACTTTTAATCACTTTTTTATATATCCATAGAGAATTTATATACATGTATGCTATATACACACACATGTGCTAAAATAACGCTTAAGTGGTATTTGGATTTCATTTTTTTTTGTACCTTACACACATTCTTACACACATTCTACAACTTCAGAGTGTTCCATTCAGAATAACATTAGATTTTCCAACATTTTACTGAGATGACAAATTTCAGAACTGTGCTCTGAAAATGTTAGTTGAACAAGAGATTGACATTTTCTTTGGAGTTGCAGTTAAGATCAATTTATTTGAGTAAAAAGCTACTTACCTATGTTTTCCTCAGACAGTCTTAAGATTTCCTGGAACTGTGGTTTTACCTATGCAAAGGATGATGAATCCCAAGTAAGAAAACTTGTTACCAGTGTCAATTAACTTTAAAAAAATACAAGAATTGAAAAACAAAACAAAAAACTCCCCCCCCCCAGCAAAAAAACCCTTGAAACCACAAAAAGGACATTTGATGGTACAGAAAGAATAAAAACCTTTAAAAAGCATAGCCATAAAAAAAACATGACAGTATGACATAAGAGAGCAAAAATTTCTAATGAGTACCCACAACACAAGTAGCAGTATTTAGTATTTGTGACACAAATAGTTGAAGTACGTAAAAAAACCAAAATTATCTTTTGTATCTTTGCTATCAATGGACCCTCTTCGAAATACAGCTATGATAATCAGTATCAGAACAATTTTATAGAAGCAACAGTTTTACAGATAACTTACAGAAAGGGCTTTCAAAGACCAGAGACTTGTTT